GTTAGCCAGCAGTTTCTCGCAAGAGACTGAAGGCCGGTCTGCTCCCCCCAATTAGATGTTGGTTCAAGAGGGAGGGTCAGCCCTGCTACTAATTGGTGGTTCACAGTTTATCCGTGGGCACCGGAGGAGTTATGTTTTGGGGGGTGGGCGTTTATTTATTTCTTATCTTATAAGTGGCCAACTTGTGTAAGCTGAGGGGGTACATTCATACAAACACACACACACACACACACACACAGTCGTTTATTCGTAGGGGAAGAATCTGTCTATCTATCTATCTATCTATCTATCTATCTATCTATCTATGTTGTGTTTTTAATAGGAAGAATATCATGTCTGCACATTAGGCACAGTGACTTGATTTTGCGGAGCCCAAGCCATTTTCAATTATCGCTCTTCTTCTACTGGTCAGATCAGAACCCATCTGCAGCAATGTCAAAGAAAAGAAAAGTCGACAGTGAGTGCCGGGTGTTTAATAAAGAATGGACGCCTAAATACTTTTTTACTGAAGTCCGGTCAAAGGCTGTATGTCTTATTTGCCAAGAAACCATTGCAGTTTTCAAAGAATAAAACATCAGCCGTCACTTTTCCACCAAGCATGCTAATTACGCCAGCAACCTTTCAACGCAAGAACGTATGGCTACCGCTCATCGGTTGGTAGCTAGCTTGCAGGCTCAGCAAAGCACCTTTAACCAAGCAACTTCCATCCAAGAAGCAAGCACGAAGACAAGTTATTTACTGGCATTCAAACTAGCAAAAGCCAGCAAGCCTTTCTCCGAAGGGGAATTTCTTAAAGAGTGCATGGTAGAGACAGCAAGTATTTTATGTCCTGAGAGCAAGAACAAATTTGAAAAAATTAGCTTATCACGCAGGTCAGTGACTCGCCGTGTTGAAGTAATTGACGAACACTTAACTAGCAAGCTAAACAAAAAAGTGGAGTCATTTACATTATATTCTTTGGCACTGGACGAAAGCAATGACATAAAGGACACCGCTCAGCTTTTAATTTTTATCAGAGGGATTAATGAAAATTTCGAGATAACGGAGGAGTTTTTGGCTATGGAATCCCTGAAAGGAAAAACACGGGGAGTCGATTTATTTAACAGCGTGTCAGCGGTCATACAGAGGCACAAGTTACCTTGGAGTACGCTCGCCAACGTTACCACAGATGGATCACCAAATCTGACAGGAAAAAATGTCGGGATGCTCAAAAGAATCCAGGACAGGGTGAAAGAGGACAACCCTGAGCAGGAGGTAATTTTCCTACACTGCATAATTCACCAGGAAGCATTGTGTAAATCCGTGTTGCAGCTTGACCACGTAGTGAAGCCAGTTGTGAAACTCGTTAACTTTATTCGAGCGAGGGGACTTCATCATCGTCAGTTTATTCATTTTCTTGAAGAAACTGACGCTGATCACATGGACTTGCTTTACCATTCTAATGTCCGCTGGTTAAGTTTGGGAAAAGTATGTCAACGTGTGTGGGAACTCAAACAGGAGATTATTTCATTTTTGGAGCTACTTGAGAACACTGACAATTTTCCCGAGCTGAATGACACACATTGGCTTTGTGATTTAGCTTTTACTGTGGACATACTGACACACATGAACGAGCTGAATGTGAAGCTACAAGGGAAAAACCAGTTTGTGCATGAAATGCAAGCAAACATCAGACCCTTCAAAACCAGGCTAGTTTTATTTTCGAAGCAAATGTCAGACAAGTCATTTGCTCATTTCCCCACACTGGCTATGTTAAAAGAGGCCCCGCAACATGTGAAAAAAGCAGTTTAAATCTTTGTCTGAGGCAGCACCCCCCACCCCTGCGACCTCCCTCCTTCTGTAGAGAGGGAGAAGGCAGAAAGGAGCAAGGCTGCCCAAGGCAAAGAAATTAAGACAAGAGAAAATGTTTTATCAGAATTCATATTCCTCACTCTCATGTCCATTCCATCCATACCTGGGTCCTATCTCCACATATGACCCTTCCTCTGATCCCCAGGGCCTCCTCTGCACATACATCCCATCGTCTGATCTTTCACTTCCTTATTTTAGCTTGTCTTCAGCAGCCTTCTTCCTTGTTGTTTAACAATGAAGAATTCCCAAAATGGTGCAGATTAATAACAGGCTGTAGCTAAAGAGAGCCTCTTTTAGTTTAATAAAGATTAATAGTCCTTACAAATGATTAAGAAATGAAAGGCACAACTTACTGTCTGTTTGAAAAATAAATTCCAAAACAGCTGCTTCTTGAATACTGAATTGATTGCAGCCCTACCCCCCCAGCTGCTTTCATGCAGGCTACTTTGAAGCACAGCTCCTCCCATTATGCCAACAGAGCCCATGTTGCCTGTTTTCCTTCACAAGCCACTAACCACAATTAAACCATGTTGCACAACTTTTCTGGCTCTGCTGCAAGCTCCCACTGGGTTTGTCTTCTGTCTAGGCTCTCCAGTCACTCTGACCTTCTCTCTGTTCTGGGCCCATAACCTGTCAGAGTGTTTGCAGCATGACTACTATTGTGAGACAACCCAGGAGCAAAACACAGGACACAGAGGCTTTTGTCTTTTAACAGTGGTTTATATACAAGACTGCTATATACATACATACACGTGTTAGGCACATACCAGGCAAGCAATCTATCTTCAACTCTACACTGAGAACTACAATGGAGATAGAACACGAGGAGAGAGAGAGATATGTCCTGTCATGGCTGCCTTTATATAGACAGCTTTTTAAAGTGGCAATACACATGCTGGCTCATCCTCAGTTCATCATCTTGGCTTACAACCTTACAGCAGATGGTCAGCTATTAAAGTATTTCCCTGACAGAGAGAGAGAGAGACACAGAGAGAGGGGGAGATACAGAGGGATGGAGAAAGAGAGAGAGACATAGAGAGATACAGACAGAGAGGGGGGGAGAGGGGGGGGGGGAGAGGGGGAGTGCGACACGGAGAGAGAGAAAGAAGGGTTTTGTGGTTCCCGGTTCTCTGCCCTAATGACTGTCTGGGTAGGTGTGGCTAGGGGGTCATGTGACTGGGTGGTGTTTTTTTCTGTGGGAAACGGGTCCAAATGGCTCTTTGAGTGTTTAAGGTTGCAGACCCCTGCTCTAACCCATGGGTATCAAACTCGCAGGCCGAATGCGTGACTCACTGGCCATGCCCAACCCCGGTTTAGCAAAGGGGAAAAAAGTTGTGATACATCATCTGATGACGTGTTGTCATGAGTTTGACATCTCTGCTCTAACCCAAGAGAGTCATATAAACTAAAGGAATGCCAGTTCCTTCTGTTGGTAAGTTGAAAAAGGTACAGTCCAGGGGAAAACCCTTCAGGGATCCCCTGGGCGTGTTGTCAGTTGGCCATCTTTTCACTGGAAGTTCAAGGTCAGGTGAAGTGTTAATATCACATTATAATGCTTTGGTAAGAGCACACTTGGAATACTGCATCCAGTTTCAGTTGCCACAATGTAAAAAAGATTTTGAGACTCTAGAAAGAGTACAGAGAAGAGCAGCAGAAATGATTAGGGGATTGGAGGCTAAAACATATAAAGAACTGGGAATTGGGTATGTCTAGTTTAATGAAAAGGACTGGGGTGACATGATAGCAGTGTTCCAATATCTAAGGGGCTGCCACAAGGAAGAGGGGGTCAACCTATTCCACAAAGCACCTGAAGGCAGGACAAGAAGCAATGGATGGAAACTAATCAAGGAGAGAACCAACCTAGAACTACAGATAAATTTTCTGACAGAACAATTAATCAGTGGAACAACTTGCCTCCAGAAGTTGTGCATGATCCAACATTGGAAGTTTTTAAGAAGAGTTTGAACAAATTATTTGTCTGAAATGGTATAGGGCTTCCTACCTCAGCAAGGGGTTGGACTAGTAGACCTCCAAGGTCCCTTCCAACTCTGTTGTTGCTGTTGTTATCTCAGCTAGTTGTGGCTTACTCTACAAATTATTAAGGAGGTTGAAACACATATTACTATACTATACATTGTACAGAGACATTTATCTGTTAGGGGTACAATCTACTTTGTACCCCCTAGTAGATAAATTCCCTGGGAGGCCAAGTAAATTTTATATGATCCTTCTCTTTTTGGATTTAAAGACATTAAGTATGCAGTAGCTAAATTTTATATTGCTGCAATGAAAGCAAGATATAATTGGTGAAAGACACACTTTTGTTTTAAAATACTATTTGATACATCTTAACTATTAACTGTAGGGAATATATGGTTTTTATTTTTTTATATATCAGTGTTTTAGATTTATCACCCAGATAAGAACTGTATTAATACAGTAATAGAGGAGTGAATGTTATATTCTGTGATTTATTTTGCTAGCTATTAGTATATTATTATATTTATTTGCTTCACTCTGTTTTTCTTTTCTTTTAAATTTTGCTGGTCATTGACTGAATATACTGATTGATTGATTGATGCTCTACAAATTATGGCACAAATACAGTCATAGAGCCAATGGTAGTATTGAACTGTGCCTTTTCTCATTAGAATTTAAACCTACCCTTAAAGTTCTTTTTATCCAACAGACTGAAATCTTAACTATAAAATATCCTATCCTTTATTCTGTTGCCACATGATATTTATTTTCCAAAAAGATTAAATTTGCTATATGTTAATCCTATTAAAATGGGTGTTTCTGTGTTCCTTTTATTGAAAGAATTATATTGAGTTTAGTTTGAACACATGTATACTACCTTCACTATCTTGGGCATCCAAACTGCTATATAGATAATTGAAGTAGTTCAAACTTGTCAAATTGAATAAGTAGCAATATGTTTACATTTCAGCAGTGGAGATGTAATCCATATGCAAGCACAGATTTTAGAAGCAAGATGTTCTTCCTTAAAGCAACAAGTTGTTGATAAGTTTGACTTAATTTACATGTGTGTGAAAGGAGAAAAAAAACACTTTCTTTTTCTTGCAGGAGAATGTAGAGGCAGTGTCCACATTTTCATTAAATATGAATTTCAGCAGTAAACGAACAAAATTTAAAATCACTACTTCAATGCAAAAAGACACCCCACAGGCAAGTATTATTAATGTCATTAACAAGACATAGCTGTATTCCATGAGGGGTATAACACCAAATAACATCTCTTTTGAGTCAAGCTCACCTCCTGGACATTTCTGTACAGTTTTCTTGGCATTCTTTTCTTCCAAAATATTTTATGGTCTTCCAAGGCTAGTCTATATAGTCCTTCCTTGTCCCAGTACTAACCAGTTCTGATATTCTGACAGCTGAGCCCAGACAAGAGACTTAGTGTTGCGACTTATTGAAACATAAAACTAAAACTTGAAAACAGTGGAGTCTGAAATTAACAATTTGTAAGGATATTTTAATATGGGAAACAGCACTTTTTGACATTGCCCTGTGTATTGGCATTGTCTTAACTATGGGCTGGATCTCCAGTTAACTATATTTAGAGCAGGCACATTGAAATCATGAATAATAACAAGCTCCATTGCTTTCAGCAGGCCTGCTTTAAAAACTAACTCAAACATTTACTAATAATACCAGAGATAAATAATTAAAAAGCAGCTTGTTTAATACTTTTACCTAACTAGTTTTTCTGATTTTTAAATTTTCATATTCCCAAAGGTTTGGAGAAATTAAAGAAGAATTTAGGATTTTTTTCAGTGATTAGACAATCCAATCCAATTAAGTATCAAGACTCAAAATGAGAAGGGAAAATACATTTTAGATGGGAGAATCAGAAGTATTTCTAAATGTGTGTCTTTTTGAAATTAACCATAAAAAATGAACAAAAACATTTTCTGATTTATTGCTGCTTGGTTCTTTTTCATTTCAATCTGGTGAAAACTACCTATTCTCTAATCTTTGACATAACTTTAAATCTTTTTTTGGAAATGCAACCCTATGCATTTTCAGTGCAAGGTAAGATCCATTTACCATTTCTAGACATCCCAGGGAACCAGAATTGTGGATTGCTTATAAGTGAGGAACATGGTGGTTTCTGCTACCTGTGGATGTGGCTAGTAAATTGAGACAGCTTTATCTACTTATTTTGTATTTATTTCATTTTTTACCAGTCTAGCCTATATAAACAGTGTTCAATGTCCACATATTCAGTGCGATTTATCCCCCAATAAGATAATGACATCAGTACTTCATCCGTATTGCATTTATTTTCTTTATAGGTAGTCCTCAACTTACAACCGTTCAATTTAGTGACCATTCAAAGTTACAAAGGCACTGAAAAAAGTGACTTATGACCATTTTTGACACTTATGACCATTGCAGCATCCCCATGGTCATGTGATTTACATTCAGATGCTTGGCAACTGGTTCATATTTATGACGGTTGCAGTGTCCCAGGGTCATGTGATCACCTTTTGTGACCTTCTGACAAGCGAAGTCAGTGGGGAAGCAAGATTCATTTAACAACCATGTTAGTAACTAAACAACTGCAGTGATTCACTTAACAACTGTTGCAAGGTCATAAAATGGGGCAAAACTCATTTAACAACTGTCTTACTTAGCAACAGAAATGTTGAGCTCAAGTGTGGTCATAAATTGAGGACTACCTGTACTGACTGTTTTTTGTTGTTCAGACCATCTCAGATTTGCTTCCACATATTTTAAGTTATCTTTATCATTTTCTTTAACTTGTAAGGGGTATGTGCCCCTCAACATTTATTTTGTATTTCATTTATTTATTTGTATACTTATGCCTTGGGCATATTCTAAACTGGTAACACTGTTCAAGATCTTACTGGATTATTACCAATAATTATTTTACAACCACCCTCTAAAATTACTTTTATTAACCAATGCCTTCTTTTTGGAAATGCTAGCCAAAATGTGTTGCCTACTATATTATATACTGTTAGGAATCTGTCCACCAATTAGTTGGGTTGGCAATATTTAAACCAACAATGTATGTTTGTAGCTTTAAGACAAAGTTACTGTATTGATTTGTACTATGTTCTAATTGGTTGATGGTATTGTGAATTGCCATAAGAGGGAGTTAGAGATCATGGCTTGTTCTCTCTGACATTCTGTATCTCTGACATTCTGTATCTCTGACATTCTGTTGCTATCTCAGTTTGACTCTGAGACTCTGTTGTATTTATACTGTGCTTATACTTTGATATTTTTGTTTACTGGAAATGACAAAGGCACCCAGTAAGAAGACTTTGTAATTGGATATTCTTTGGACTGTAAAACGTATATGACCTGGACCGTTTATTGGACTGTGCTATTTCTTAAAGTAAACTTTAACTCAATTCAGTGTAGCTGTGTGTGGCTGAATAATTATTCATAACTACTCTCATAAACATTTCCATGTGCATATCCTTGTTACTCAAGGGTTATTCTGTACATATCATAATATATACCATATTTATGTTCAAATATTTTTTTTATTTTTTGTTCAAATAATGTTGTTGTCCTGTTGGAAACACTTTCTGAATTTGAGCTTTCACTTTAATTTTCTTAATTCCAAATGTAGTTATTGCATTACTTGTATAAAAATATGCCTTTTAGGAAGCCATTATTAACTGAGGTTGGCTGAGAATTCCCGCTTCACAGGATCACTTGCTGTCTCATTGGTCCTGTACAGCAACAGTCTTGGCTACTTCAGCAGGTTAATAATGATTACAGCTTCAAAAGTATAAAATAAACTTGGAATGTCATTCCCTTCAGCCATATGTTTTAGGAAATATCTAGACCAGCAAAGAATTAATGCATCTTGAACTTCAATTTCATAATAAGTGTCACATGTATATATTACTCCACTGATTTGATAAGAGTTGTTGGCAAAGCAGTTCTAAATGTACTACTTAGATAGTAAGCTTCTCTATGCATATTGAAATTACTCAAAGTTTTTAAAGGTGTCTAACCATGTTTTCTCAAAAGTATTTTTTGCTTTTCAATGTACATGGGAAAAACAATTTAGTTCATTCCTTAAAATACAGCAGTTTATACAGTGCCTTATTTCACATTCTAAAAAATTATTTTGTTGATTTCATATCAGATCGTATAATTTAAATAACACAAAAATAAGTGTTGTACTTCCTTACATTTGTTTAAGATCTTAAAACTATCAATTCTTTTTCATCTTCAATGGCAGTTCCATAATATTCATTTTTTATTTGTGTTTTTCCTTTGTACGTGGTTCTGATTAAAAGAAGATGAGCTGAACTGAATCTGGCTAGTGGTTCATTTAGTTCAGCATTCTCTTTTCCATCCTGCCCTAATATTCCCAGGAGGTAGACACAAAATAATAACTCTCTATTGTAGTTGCATGCAGCAGCCTACTACTACTACTATGGCAACATAGCCATAGTTTGTGTGATGTTCTTCAGTGACATATCTCCTTTGAACCTGAGGTTTATACAGAGCTGTTATGAAAATAATAAAAGATGTTCTCAATGGTGATTTTGTTCACCACAGAGAGGAAGGAAGAATTTTTAGTGCTCTGCTTCTATACTACTGTACATTATTTGGACTTCTACCACAAAATTTAGGAATATTCAGTGAATCCAGCATTTATATAAAAACATAGCCATAGTTTGTGTGATGTTCTTCACTACAGATAGTCCTTGACTTAGTGACCATTTAAAGTTACAATGGCACTGAAAAAAGTAACTTATGACCATTTTTCACAGTTACGACCTTTGCAATATCCCCATGGTCACATAATCAAAATTTAGATGTTTGGCAACTGATTCATACCTTTATGATGGTTGCTATGACCCAGAGTCAGGTGATCACCTTTTGAAATCTTCTGACAAGCAAATCAATGAGGAAGCATTCACTTATCAACTGTGACAAAATTGTTGTAAAAAGGGGAAAAACTCACTTAACAAATGAAATTTTGAACTCAATTGTGGTCGTAAGTCGAGGAGTACCTGTATAATAATAGGTAAGAGATGTATTCAAAATCTGTATCATGTTGCCTAGATTTGGGCAACATGGAAAGCCAAATCACAATATAGCTGGTGTGTTGTCCCAATGAAATTACTGTAGAAGAGTTGCCTTACAGCAGGGCTGTCAAACTCCCAGCCCGCGGGCCAGATATGTCACGTGCTGGCCACGCCTACACCCAGTTTAACAAAGGGCAAAAAAGTCCCGATATGTCACATGACGCTACCGTGACAACGTGAGTTTGACACCCCTGCCTTACAGGATCAAACCAAGTGTTGCCTACTCAAATCTATTTTTAGCTATCCGCCTCTTTGTTTAAACCTGTGTTTTTCAAAATTGGCAACTTTAACATGTGTGGTCTTCTCCATGCTGGCTGGGGAATTCTGGGAATTAAAGTCCACATATCTTAAAGTTGCCAAGTTTGAAAAAACACTGGTTTAAACTTTGCAAAATAGCTAAAGGAAAGGATTCCCATGGTCCCTCATTCATATTTCCTTTAGCTTCAAAGAGTGCCAGAGGATTCTCTTCTTCCATATAGTTTACTAAGAAAAGAATAGCTCTCATCTGGATCATGAAAGAATATGCCATTTGAATAGGCATCTGCACGTGATCATAGCTACTAACCCACTTAATTACATTGTCTTGTATTGCAGGAAATGGAGCAAACAAGAAGTGCTGTAGATGAAGATAGGAAAATGTACCTTCAAGCTGCAATTGTCCGCATCATGAAAGCACGAAAGTTATTGCGACACAATGCTCTCATTCAGGAGGTAAGATTATTTACTTCTTGGCATGTAAACATTTAGGAGAGCTTGTTAAATGGGATGGTTGGCTGGGCCAATCGAAATAAGATAGTTCTCCTGCGACAGTTGAAATAAAGTGTGCCATGTTAAATACTTGAACAGGTAGTCCTTGATTGATGACCGTAATGGAGCCTGGAATTTCCATCATAAGTCATGATGGTTGTACGCTGAGGCACCCAGGTGACCAGAAATAATTTTACAACTTTTGGCAGTCATTAAGCAAACACCAGTGTCATTAAGCAAATCAGTGTATTCTTATGGGCGTTTTTTGCCAGAAACTGGCTGAAAAGGCCAGAAACTGGCAAAAAAAGGTCATAAATCAGTCACGTGATCATGGAACATTGCAACTGGCTGTAAAGATGAGCCCATTTCCAAGTGCCCAAAATATGGCCACATGGGTATGTTCAGCTGTCAGAACTCCAAAACCAGGTGATAAGTAGCTTTTTTGGGGGGTGGGGTTCTGTCATAATTTAAAATGGTTACTAAGATATCAGTCATTAAGTGAGGACCACCTATAGTGGGTTACAAATACACACTTTATGATATGTAGTGTTGTGCTTGATATTCTTTAACTGCCAATTGACCAACTTCAATTATGTTGCCTTGCATCAGAAAGATTTTTTGTGCCCCTTGAAATGGTCTTGTCTTAGGGGTTCTGTTTACGTGCAATTCTGAGCTTGTTCATGGAGACATATGGCATATTAGCATGCAGGTGTGAATTGTGTGATAGCATTTTTCATTTTCACAAAACTGCTCTTCCAGAAGTTGTGATCCTAAACATTGCTGCCTCTGCATGGGTCATGAACTTTCCTCCAAACTCTTCACTTGCTCCAAAAATACACAAACTGTCTTGCAATTCTGAGAAAATGAATCTGTGTTTTTCTTTAAAAAGATACCATTGGCTTGGTTTTGAAGGGTTTTTTTCCAACTTTTTAAAGAAGTCAGCATTTACATTAAGTTTTATCTTTCTTCTCTCCTTTGCACAGGTAATTAGCCAATCAAGAGCTAGGTTTAACCCAAGTATCAGCATGATTAAGAAGTGTATTGAAGTTCTGATAGACAAACAGTACATTGAACGGAGCCAGGCCTCAGCAGATGAGTACAGCTATGTAGCATGAGTTTAATATTCTGCAGATACAGCTGTAAGAAGGTCATTTCTGTCTCTGCTTTGTGTGTTCTGTGTGGTGAAAAGCAGATCTATGGTGCCTCCATAACTGGTCACTTGGCAACCCCTGTTTTTTCTGCTGTTTACAACATCATCAATGACATGTCATGAGCATCAGTGAAGAAAAAAGCCTATCCTGACTTTATGTCATTATGACATTTCTTAAAACTTTACTAAAAGAGAATGAGTGAAGACTTGCTGAAATGTAGAAATTTTGGTTGGATACCATTCTTCCCCTTCCACCACTCCACCCTCCCACATTTGCAGTTGATGCCTTTTTAATGTACCTTAAAAGAAAAAAACAGATTAAATATTGTAATATGGCAGATGACATAATAATTGTATCTACACTGACATGTAAAAACAATGAACACAATACTACTGCTTATCAAATAAAAATGGAATATGTTGTGCAACCTGTTTTAATTTATAAACTAAATAGCTGTTTTCACTGCTAAGCATCCTTGTAGCTCATTCCTGTTTAGAAGTAAGCTTGGAAAAGGGATAATTCTGATAGGCTGGATACTGTTATACTTATCCATGAAAGAATGGATCATTTGGATGTTTCCTCACTATGAATGTTTTTCCCTTAGAAGGCAAAAATAAGCTTTAAAAGCAGCCCATTGTGCCTTATGCTCCTTTCCACGTAGGGTGTCTGGGTGCCAACATAGGAAGAGAAGAACTGAAGGCTACTTCACAGTGTCTGTTTTCATTTATATGATTGCATTTTTGACAACTCAAATTGTGAAGAAAACTTATCATGAACCAGGCTGTCTAAATTCAAAGTGGGAGATGAATCAGCTTAATGAGTTTACACTAAAATTTCAAATACTTGAATTTTTAATGAAGATTCACCAAAGATATGCTTGATTTTGTGGCATTTAAATAATGTTGAATAATGTCCTGGCCCATAAGAATTAGAAGAGTCCCTGCCCATTCCAGAACCCAACCTTCTCTTCCTTTACTCTGCTCCTTTAGACAAAGTCTCTGTAATAATAGTTCAGTCAATGAATACCCTCTAATTTTTACACCTTCCTCATTTGTGAAGAATGAATAGATTCAAATTCTATTCCCTGTGGATCAGAAGGGGCTGCAGATTGGGGACTGCTGCAGAGTGTGTGCACCGAGTGTGGAAGGCCAGTGGTGACACAGCAAAGAGCCAGGCTGAAATTGGAAATGTCACCCCATGGGAATGTCACCCCAAGCCAATGGGAATTGGAGGCAATAATTGGCCCAAAGCCCAGAGAGTCAATGGGCCTCAGCAGAGAGGTAGGTAGCCCAGATCAGAGACCAGTGGGAGTGCAAGTGTTGTGGCCCGCCAGCAGCCAGCAGAGCTGGCGGCAGACTCAGACGATGAGGTTAGGGAGGAACTTGGGCCAGTTCTGGAGTCTGGGGAAGGCTCTGATGGAAGCTCTGTGTCAGAAGCAGAGATAGGGCCAGGGCCGTCTGACATTTCCCAGCTGCCTTTGGAGTTGGAGATAAGTGGGGAAGAAGAACAGCTGGGGCCTGTTCCAGATGTGCGTATGTGCAGAGCTATCAGGAGAGGAGAACAACTGAGGAACAGGGGCTGACTTGGGAAGAAAGGCACACATGGATGCTGAATGGCCCCTCCCTGTGGAATAAATAGAAGCAAAAGGGGAGTGCTGGTTGCAGGAGACAATAGTTTGTATTTCTTTTGGAAGATTTGCTTATCGTGGTTCATGCCTCAGAGATGTCTTGCCAGGAATTAATTTACAGCTTTGTGACTAGAAGCTCTCAGCCTGGCAATTATCCAAGGGCTGATAAGGTCTGTTCTTGCAATTAACCCTTGAAAGGATTATTGCCTGGACTTTTCTGTGTGTGAATGCCATGAATTCACAGTAACTAAATAAAGAGTGAGGCATCACATGATCACACCTGATTTTATGACCATTTTTGCCACTGTAGTTAAGTGAATCACTGTGGCCATTAAATGAGAAATCACAGGATTGCAATTTGCAACCTTTCCTGCTGGCTTCCCCATTGACTTTGTCTGTTGGAAGCCGGCTGTGAAGGTTGCAAATGATGATCACATGACCCTGGGATGCTGCTACCATCATAAATGCAAGCCAGTTGCCAAGAGCCCAGATCATGATTATATGACCATGGGGACGCTGTGATGATTGTAACAAGGACTGGTTAGAAGTAACTTTTTTCAGTGCTGTCATAACTTCAAATGGTCGCTAAACGGTCGGATGCGTCACGCGCTGGCCATGCCCATGCCTGGTTGAGTGAAGGGGGGGAAAGTCACAATATGTCACATGATGGCACTGTGATGACGCGAGGTTGACACCCCTGCTCTAAAACAACCCTGTACATAAGTTGTAAGCCTGTCTTCACTAACTTTGCTAAAAATTTGGGACTGAATTATGTGAAGGCAGGATCTCATTCCAACTCAACAGGACTACCAACCAATCTAAGGAGAAACATACTGTATATTCACATTTTGTTTTGAACTACCCAAATTGATACTGGAATGGATCCACTGTACATGTTTCTCAGATCGCACTTAACAGAACATACTTTCTTTGTCTGTTTAACCCGAGATCTGGTCATAATTGTATGTTCCCCTTTGCATTGGCTTAGCACATTAATATTAACAGTAGCATCTCACAGAGCAGTCCAATTATCCAAGGAATTTCTGTTCCTCTTGTGAAAAATTAATTATATATAACACTGCTTATGGTTAACAATAATCTGGACCCATCACTGATTGCAGCTCTGGATTTTTGTATCAGTACAAAACTACTGTCGCACTCTGCCAAGAACTGGATCTTTTAATCAATAAACCAGGCTACTCACACTTTGTGAGAAGTACATAAAAATGAAACAACCAACTATTGATAATCTGATCCATAGGATGCTTTATTAGGTAAGATACTGCAGTACTGGACCCCTCACTCCAAAACCATGTTTAGGAGAAAAGGAGACACTTCCATTTAGTGAATACAGCTTATATAGGTTTATCAAATCACATGGTTACATAACACTTCATGTTGTCCATATATAGAAGTTATACAACGTTTTCATAAGAATGTTCCAACCTTCCATGGAAAACTCCCAACATTCTCATTATAGTCAGATTTCCTGTTATTCAAATACCAGAAGATTATAAGAAAACCATTAATATCTCTTAATGTGATTTATGTCAGAGCACCCCAGCACATACCTCTAACTTATGCCAAGTACATAGTTTTGCAATCTTGTATAATTTCTAGCAGAAAACACATTACATAAATGTTCTGAGCTTCAAAAGTTCCCTTCCGGTTTGTAAGGCTTCGGCGGCGGCAGGAATCCGCGATCGTGCATGGTTTCTGCTGTGCTCGCCGCTGGAGTGCCCCCGATTCAGCCGGATTTGGGGGCTAATAGTTACCCCGTACAGGTAACTGAAGATAGGGGAGAACCAGCAGGGGTCTGGGGGAATTGCAACCCCCCTCCTCAGCTGGCTTAACTCCCTTTTCCGAAGGCAGTGGAGTGGCGGTCAGCAATGGCCGCCACAAAGAAGCTTGCATCCGGATAAGAATGTGCAGGAGGAAGCTGAAAAAGTGAAAGTTCTGGCTGACCGGGATAATAAGTAGCATTTAAATACCCTGGAATTTTAATTTCGTCAAAGATACATCGTTCCCAAAGAAGATTGGGAAAAGCGGCAGATGAAAGTTAAAAGGGAAAGTTTGTTTTTTCTCACTCTCCTTCCTTACGGTGATAGCAGATGGAAATCGGAAAAACCCGTTCTGCCACCAGCAGGTAATTAAACTTGAAAGTTAAAGCCAAGGGGACATTAAAGATTTCTGAACATTGAAAAAGAAAAAAAAATTTTACTCTTTGCTATAAGTGGGAAGGGAGAGGAAAAGAATTAACATTAAGATTTTTGCTGGAGGAGGCTGCTTGGAACTTATAAGACTAGAGTTAAATTGTAACAAGACTTCTAAAAGATACATTTTGGAACTTTACAATTGAACTGTACCCCAGGAAGAGAAAGTATCAAAAAGAAGAAAGTGCTTAATGAAACAGACTGTGTGTATTTGGACTGCTTGGTGACTTTGGAACCTTTGGAAATTATTATTTGAAAGACTAAAAACTTTTGGGTTGTTTTAAAAACTTTTTCATTATGGCATTACTTGTTGATGAACTGAAAATGGAATTCAAAAAGCTAAAAGAAGAGGAACAAGAAGGGAAGGGCTCTTCTGGATCTGTTTTTCATTTTTTAGAAATGGCGATTTCTACCTATCAGCAATTACAAGAACAAGAAGGCTGGGATGAAGAAGAAGAAGCCATCTTTAATGAACAAACAACTTTAGTTGGGGAAGAAAAGGGAAAGAGGGGAAAGAGAATGGAGAATTTAAGACTTAAAAAAACAACCAAAAAAGGGAAAAATAAGGTGAAAAATTGATACAATGTCAGAAAGCAACAGAAAAGAGGAATACAGAAGAGGGTGGAGATTAAGAGGGTGGAGATCAAGAGACGGGGGGGTAAAAAGGCTAGACTGGAGAAGAAAGGAGAGGAAAAAAGGAAGAGAAGTTACAAAGGTTTGAAACAAGATGTAAAGAAACAGGATTTATTCAGAGATAATGGGTAAAAATATAATTTTAAAAGAGATTCTGCAAAAGTACATAAGATTGTATTGTTGTATTTGTATTTGAAATAATGTTAGAAAACTGGAACACTATATGATTATAAAATGGGATAAAATATTAAAAGGAATGTGTAAAATGCTTAAGATTTAATGATAGAGTTTAATTTGCTATGGATTATTGTTTTAATTATATTATAAACTTATCAGTTTCCTATTTTAAAACATAGTATGTAGCTTTAGAATGTACTAAGCAGAATCAGAATGGAAACTATATATTATTTTAAGTGTTAAATTTAGGGGAAAGATATAAAGGCGTCATACTTCAATCAGTGATTGCAGGAGAAATTTTGTGTTAATGAGAA